TAGGAAGTATTAATTCCTACTAAATACTTTCATAAAACAACCCAATCACTTACCAGTGCAAGTGGTAATTCTTTATACATCCAGTATAAACTTCCAGAAGTATTAATTTGTAATCAAGGATTATGTCTTCCTACTTCTTTTGTTCTTATTAAAAACTAATCCTACGAGTTGACCGTAGGTATATCTACTGTATGGGATGGCCAATTGGTTATGACGATCTCTTAACTTCATTCTGACTCTTTCGGCAAAAAGAGTAGGAAGACCATCAATAAATTTGGCTTTCCAATGATCTGAATTAGCATCAGCTCTACGATGTACTTTCATCAAGAATACATCCTTATACCATCTAAAATGGAATAAAAATGGACATCTTAATTTCTGTAATAGTTCTCTACTTCGATCTTCAATACCGGTTACGGCACCAATGAAATGGAGAACTATAGTGTTTACCAAAGTGTAAACAGCATCTTGCTCAGTAGTTTCAGCTCTGGTGTCTGGATCAGTTTTTATACGAGTAGAACCTAAAATTTCATTATTTTGTGCTGTAGTGAGAATATTATCCCACCATGCTTTGAGTAACCCGGTAAAGCCACTGACTATAAATCGGGCAACTTGATGGTTAGTATTCTCATTTTGTTTGCATACGGTGGCAAACATAAGCATACGCTAAAGGACTTCGAATATTTGATATTCTGTAAGACCATCAATATTCCATTCATAAATGGTTCTACTGTGGTAAGATTTCTGACTATGAAGGAAATCTTCTTCATAAAGAAGATCCATAGGGCTAGGTCTGGAATAATAATATCTGTTTGGTGTAGTATAAGCAGTTCTATCTATATTTGTTCCATAATGAACTTTATTAACAAAAGAGGGTTCATTTTGGAAATTAGCCTGGATTTCAGATATTTGGTGGGGTTCCAAATTCTGATAATTTTCATCTATCTCCTGGAAATGATTTCTGGATAACATATTAACTTGTGAGGATTCTCCTATATGAAGATTTTTAATCTTGTTTAATAGAGTATCCATGAATTCTGTATTATCTTTTTTTCGATTTTAAATTAAAATTTGTTACTGTAGGAGTAGGCTTAAAAGCTACAGGTTGAATATCTGGAGTCTTAGGTTGGAGATGACAGGTGTCCTTAATATGAACAATTGTTTCTTCAATTCTGGTTAACTGTTTTCCCATAGTTTGACAGAAAAGATTAGTATAATTATTCTGTTTTAAAATAGGAATAATTTCCTTAACTATCACCGCATTAGTGCTTTTTGCAGGAGGTTCAACAAAAGCAGTAATAACTAAGGGTTGACTGGTAGTAGAATCACTAGGGAGCAATTCTAAAGATTTTGCAGGAGAGTGTACTGATGTAATAATATTACCATCAGTAGTTACCCAATTTTTCTAGATATTGTCTAAAACATTGATTTGTCTATTAGAATATTCAGTATTTTCCTTAAACCATAAAGGGAAAGGTGTTAACATCTGGTGTTTTTCTAAATAAGAATAATATTGGATTTTGAACTGGTGTAATTGTTCTTTATTATGGCTACTAAAGTACCACGTTCGGAATTCTGCATACTTGTCTTGGTAAAAATCCTGGTTTAGGATTTTCCTGTTTTTACTGTTTGGACTAAAATCCATTAAACTTCAAAATTCATATCGCTGGCAGTAGGACTATAAGGCCCTTTGCTACTGGATTCCCGGGGTTCATAAAATCCATGTGGGATTCTGTTGGTTGAATATTGTAATCCTTGAACAACGGGATCCATAGGGTCTATGTGATCAAGATTACTTGGTGGTCTGGATGGCATACCTTGGATGACAGATTCTACAGGTTCAGCACTAGAGTGTCTGGATGACTCAGGAAAATCTACCCTATATGCTTCTCGAAAAGAGGGAGTAGATCTAACACTAGTAGTTGACATACTTCTAGATAGTTGTCTTTGAGGTCGCTGGAAACGTAGATAAACATTACCTCCATCAGTTTGGATAACATCATCCAAATTTTGCTGGACAATTGGTCTCGGTGGAACAACATTAGTGATCTGCCATCTTTCTGGGAAGGTCATTTTTTGCCATTCAATCATTTTTGGCATGGCTACTTGACTACTGTAAAGATTTGTATCAATTAACACTGTATGACCTTGGTCACTTTGCTTTCTTATGTAAGGATTTAAGGTTGTGAGGACCTTCAGATATATTATGGAAATAACCGTAAAGGGTGGTGATCCTGGAAGATACTCATAACCATGAGATAAAACTCTTAATTCCAAAACCTTAGAAAGATTCTGGTCTGAAATGGTGACACTTAGATTTGGGTATATATCGAAATATACTGGACCATGAGCTAGACTGGTTTCTATAGCTCCCATTAGTGAAGCTCTCCAATTGGTACATCTACCATCTCGGAGTGTACACTAAATACTGGTATTTTGACCTAAAAGGGTCAATGGTTTAAATGTTACCTGTACAAGTCCTATGTGGATATATTTATATTGCTGTAAGAAAGGATAAAGATCCTGGAGATGGATTAAATACATTAATTCATCATTATTCTGGACTGAGGCTGCATGCTCAAAGGTCTTGATGATTCTTCGGCTGGAAAAGTCGAGCTTACCTATCTTATAGATGGTATTAGGTTTTACCTTCGGTATTGTCCATTTATCAAGTGCCTCATTGACATCTTAATAAGCAACTAATTCTCTGGCTTCTGATGTAGAAGCTACTGTATTGGCCACTGTGTTGGCTACTGTATTAACATCTTCTGTTGATTCAGTACTCATTTAGTTATATGATGACCATATATGTATAATTAAAATTAAATAAAACAAACTATAATGAACATTGAACTTGGCTCTGATACCACAATAATGGTGCTTGACATAGGATAAAGATGTTAATACAGACTACAATTTATTATTTTATTGAATTTATTATGTAAAAATGCAACTTTTACAGACTACAATTAGATTTTTAGGCCATAATATTCATAATGGCTTTATTATCCCTATTAACAGGAGCATGGAATTTGTATCTAAATTTTCAGATGAAATAAAAGACAAAACTCAATTACAGAGATTTTTAGGAAGTTTAAATTGTATCCATGATTACTATCCTAACCTTGCTATAGATGCAGCTATTTTATATTCCCAACTTCGAAAAAATCCTCCTCCATGGGGTCCCGAACATACAGAAGCTGTTCAGAAGATTAAGGCTCGCGTGAAAACGCTACCTTGTCTTTCTTTACCAAATCCAGAATGGAAAAAAATTATAGAAACTGATGCCTCTAACTTAGGTTATGGTGGCATACCTAAACAATTTAATCCCAACAGTAAAAAAGAAGAACTTTTACGATTTACTTCTGGTATTTGGCATCAAGCTGCTAAAAATTATCCATCCATTAAACCAGAATGTTTAGCTATTGTTAAATGTGTCTTAAAATTCCAGGATGATTTATTAAATCAACATTTTTTAATAAGAGTTGATTGTTCTGCAGCAAAATAGATTTTTAAAAAAGATGTTAAAAATCTGGCCCAAAAACAAAATTTTGCCACTTGGCAGGGCCAACTTTCCGTTTTTGATTTTGACATTGAATATATCAAAGGAGAAACTAATTCTCTTCCAGACTTTCTAACCCATGAATATTTGCAGGGTCCAAATGCAGAATAGGGGCTGAGGCTCCGGCAGAAGGGGCCGCAGTAGGGGCAACCCCTACACTACAGAATTTCCAGGGCTATATGCCACTTCCAGTAAAAAAGGGAAATCTAGCCATTCGGCTAAAGATGTCCTCCTCACTTCAGTACCATATGTCCAGAATTTTATCATTGACCAAGGGAGAGATCTTCAGATTTGGAGATCGTTTTGATTGATTTTGCAGATTGCATTCCTGATTTCGCAAATTATCGTAGATTCGTATATTATATATCAACTCAGATTTCAAATATATGATACATATATAGAAGGGCAATATTGCCATTAAAAAAAACGACAAATTATAGAATGTCTTTATTGAGGCAGACATCTCCTAGTCAGGGGCTTTTTGAAAGAAAATTGATTGAGTTATCCTTTACCCTAATAAAAAGTCCCAAAGGGGGGTTTCACCAAAATACCCATATGTAAATACTCTTACTCATGTAATAAATTTCTTTGAACATTTCTACTCCCCTCCTTAAAAAATTTGTATGTAAAATTATTTTGAAGGCTTAGGCGTCAAATTGACATATGAATTTGACTCTCTAGAAAAAACACTCACCGATATATTAAATTTATTATTTTATTATTTTTTTTAAACATTATATACTTTAATATTTTTTAATACTTTCGTAGGTTCTTACTATTAAAATAATGAAAATCAAATAATTTAGCATCTTCCTATTGTTATGTCAAAATTGACATTATTCAAGACATGCCAAATGCCATTTCTTTTTTGGAAGTTCAGATGGAGCACAACGCACTTGTCAAAAGTGCCGCATAAGATTGACAACTCGAATAGAGATGCTCTCAGTTCCTTACTAAATCTTTTTGAGATCCTTTTTAAATTCTAGTCCTTGGTACCCCCTTCAAAGCGTTTCTTTGTGTGGCCTTTGATCACTTGTTGATCCTCTTTGATGGATCGTTAATCTTGAAACAAACCACATAATTGCATTATTCAGCTGGATAGATGACACAATTTTTTGTTACGTGTACAACACAATTGACCTTCATATCCATATCTTAGTCCTCACAATTTTACATACCATAAAGGAGCATTGAACAACAACCTCCTATTGTTGACGTTTATATATCACATATCACATATCCAATGAGAAATTTCACACTAGCAAGAACAAAAGAGAGTCATGAAAGAAACAAGTACTAGAATACAAACTGTCACCAACCCTTAATTTACGACATGAAATCCAATGCAGACGGGCAACAAAGCAAGCAAATTCAGGCAGAGAGAGTCGACACAGTCGAAGCTAGCACGATTTGATGCTCAATATCACCATAACTGAGCTTATTTTGAGATTATCAGAGCAATACTAGCTTCTTCATCATATGGGTCGAAGCTTTCCTTGGAATCGGAAAGGCAAATATAGTAAATCTCGGAGACTATGCAATTCAAGAAAACGAAAGTTTCCTCGGCTGCAAAAACTCCTTTTCTCATGGTATGACAAAAGGGAAGGTTTTCACCAAAAATGGCCCGGTACTTGGTGTGATGGGCATTCATCACTGAACCAGCTAGCAAGCACACCTCTGTGATGATGAAGAACACCCTGAGAAATTCAATTGCTGATTTATTTATGGTGTGAACTACCAAGTGTGAAGTGAACAATTTTATTTTATCAAAGCTGAGGAATTCATGGTAATAGTTTAGAGTATAATGCTCCATCTATTTCGGCATAAAACATTTTTCTACTGAAATCAGAAGACATTTTCTATAGGAAAAGTTTTCCTTTGTTTGGTTGGGATTTTAGAAGTAATGTGCTAATTTAAGAAGCACAGACAAGTGACATAAGGACACACAAAGTTTCAAAAATGTAAGCCACAATACATGGGGAACACGTGCAAAGCATATAATTATTATACGTCAAATATTGATTATCATCAAATTCATCAATTTTGGTATGTTATTTTTATGAAAAAAATAATAAAAATATATATATATAAGGTTCCCCAACGTGTCCCAAGTCGGAGAAGAGTACGTGACCACCAGAGAGGTGTCCATGCCTCACAGGTGCTAGTGCTGGTATTGGTACAAGTACCTTAGTCTAGAAAATGTTTTAGCGAGTTGGAAAATGGTTTTGCTCCAAATAAGTATATTTTCTGTTGAACAAGAAAAATATTTTTCATTAGACTTTCATTTTTTGTTGTGCCTTGTGCAAAAAAGTACGAAAAAATGTTTCCTAAACCACGTTTTCTACCAAAACAATCAGACTAAATGTGATAATGTACCAATTCTATTTAAGATCAGTGTGACAGAGTATGAACATACCAGCAGGTTATGAAAAGAACAAGTGTGGAAGCCCTAGAACCTTCCAGTTTGAAAGCATTCCCACAGCAGAAGCATTGGGTTGTCACCATTACGAGGACTTGACTGGCCATTAAAAACAAGGAGGCACTAACACCAAACCAAGTGGATATGCTTGAGTTGTAAACACAATACTCATAATTCAAATCAGAGTTTGGTTTGACTGTGGCCTGTTGATGAAGATATTGTCATTTCAACCATAAGCAAAATAGGGCAAAAGCTTAGGGTTGTTTTGGGAAGATGGTTAAAAGTTATTTTTTGGCTTTTTTTTTGACTTTTTTGTGAGAGAGGAAAGTCAATTACAAGTTGAGAAGTGACTTTTAATCCACTTTCCAAAATATGTTTTACTAACAGATACATGTTCAACGCCGATAATTATCACACTTTCCGAGTGATGGAGATCGGAAAGGTATTGGATGACAATTAATTAAAGAATATATGAATTTTAGTATAATTAGGAATAATGGGGCAAAAGAGGTGGGTCTTATTAGTTTGAATTTGTAACAAATCAAGAGTTACACAGGTAGTATTAAAATCAGAAAAAGGATTAATTACACTTTTAATCCTGATAGTTTGATTCAAATTTCTCTTTAATCTCTATAGTTTTAATTTGAACAATTAGATCCCTACACTTTAAGTCTAGTTTTAATTTGATCATTTCATTTAAATTTTTATTAATTTTGCCTTGATGTACACTTTAAAAAATTGACAAGTGTTCTGAAATTGTTGATATTTACCTCCAATTTAGACAAAAGAATCAAATATGATCCTATTGTTGGGGAAAAAAAAAACAAACAAGACAAAACAAACAAATTGTACAAAAAAGGGTAAGTATACTCAAACCTTTTGTTATTTTGTTTCCGAAAACATGAAAAAAGTCAGATTTCGAAATCGTTATCAGTGTGTTTGGTTTTAATTTTCTGAATTTAATTTTTTGAAAATTAAGTTTTTTGTTTTTTGAATTTTTTTAGTGAATATTTTTAAAGTTTTAAGCAATTTTTAAATTTTTTTTAGATGTATCTAAATAGTAAAATATTTGTGAAAAAAATATTTAAAAAAATTAATAAATATAAAAAAACATGAAAATGTACTGAATTTTGATATTTTTTGTATTTTTGGTATTTAGTTAATTTTTTAAACATTTTTTTTTTCACAAATATTATACCTTTTAAGAATATTTATGTTAAGTATGCCTAAAAATTAAAAAAAAATTATTTAAAATATTAAAAAAATTAATGAAAAATAAAAATAATAAGAAAAATGATTTTTATTTTTTTTTTAAAAAAGTGAATTTTGAAAATGGAAATCATATGTGTTTGGTTGGGTTTGTGGTTTGTGTTTTTGAGGTGAGAGTTTAGAAATTTGTTTAGTTTGTTTGGTTGTATATTTTGAAAATAATTTTGGAATTTGAGAGTTTGTGATGATTTGATATTTTGTTATAGTTAAGTAAGGCCATCTCCAACGGCACATCAGATTAAGCATCAAATTCAAATTTGATGAAAAAAGTTCCTTTTTCCCTCTCCAATAGTTTCACCAAATTGATATCAAACTGAGAACGGAACAAAACTTTCATCAAACTGAGGACAAACGCGAGATTTCAATATTTCACTGTGCTGTAACATTGGGGTGGGCCAACCGGTCAACCTGCCGGATGTTCGGCCGGTTGACCCACCAGTCGACCGGCTCCCTCAATCTGCGAACTGGTTTATTTTTTGGAACAGGTGCGAACTGGTTTATTTTCTGGAACAGGTTCAAATAGGTAGGTTATTTTGTGGACTAGGAATAAATTGAAGGGTGATATAAATTTAAATTCTCATGAAAATGCAAATGAAAAAGTTACATCCTATATACATATTTTTAGTTCATAACTAGTCGTTCTGCATTAGCAATTCCAATAATTTACTGTTGAATTGACAGAGTATTTTGAAAACTTACCATTGCTGCTGTGCTCTATAAAATATATCTGTTGATAATAGCATGCTGTGAATTTCAATTGGGTTGATAGAGTATTTCAGTTTGATAATAGCATTATATTTTGTTGTAGACATGCTGTGAATTTTTTTAGTTCTGTGTCATTATAATTTTTTTTTCCAGTGAGCTTCAGTTTATATTATCTGATTCTGAGGTTGAGTGTATATCATTCCAATATTTTTCACTGTCTAAGTTAGATATTGTATCCTATTGAATTTGCTTCAAACTATGGAAGATTTTGAAATGTTTGAGAAATCACAAATGTTGGAGCACAACATTGATTTTAATTTTATTTCGGAAACTTCACGAGAGCAGCACACTGATAATCATTTTATTTCAGAAACTTCTTGTGTTTCTCGTGATAAAGCAATCACAATTATAGAAGATGAAACTTTATGTAGATCTTGGTTGGCAGTCTCTCAAGATCCCATTACTAGTAATAGTCAAACTATGGCTATATTTTGAGAACGAGTACTTGTTTATTTCAATTCACAATTGAGCGGTGAATCAAATCGAAACCGTAATCTTCACATTTGATATATGTTGGAATATTTTGCGCCGAAGTTGTAAGTGTGATGAATTTCGAAAACAACCCAAAAAAACCACGCAACATGCTTATCCATGTTCGAATCTACCAACTGAATATGAGGCTTTTCAACCCAACCAGAATAATGCGGTGCACGAACAGCCAACTAATACATCAACATGATCAATTGGTACTAAGGCAGCGAAAGAGAAGTTGAAGAATCAAACAACTCATGATAGTAGATTTGATGAAATGGTTGCCAACCAATCCAAAATTGTTGAAGTGTTATCAACTATCTCATCTTGAGCGAGCTAAACAAAAGGCGATAGACTGTAAACAGAAGGTTACAGAGCATCGAAGAAGGGTCGAGGATAGGGAGGAACAACCAAAACTCCTATCATGATGAATGAAAGAGAACAACGAAATGAAGATCATAAAATAATGTCAATGGACATGACAATTTTAAATCCCATGCAAAGGGCGTACTACGAAGATCTTCAACAACTGATCTTATTTCGAACAACTAATAGATTGCATTGACTGTTTCTGTATTGGTGGATAGTATTGGTTTTTGAAAATCCTAAGTTATTCGTGATTAGATTAAGATTAAAATATTCTAAATCCCAATTATTCAACACACGCAATCTAAATCATCAAGCACTTACGAAAGTGATTTAAATTGTTGTTTTTCTGAATAAATAATAAATCAACACAAACGATTTTTACGTGGAAAAACCACAATTGAAGAACCTTCAATTGTAATAAAAAACCATGGGCGAAACGCCACTAATCAATTCACTACTGAAGAAAGAAAGATTACAAAGATAATACACAAATTACCCAACTCAGTCAATTTGTCTTCACACCTTCTGTAATTCTTTCACCAAACCTTCGTCTCGGAACTGATCAACCTGAAGTTGAATCCACAACTTCGCTTGTCGAATTAACGACTACGTACATAATCAAACGCCTTTGAAACTCTACGTTTGAATCTTCAGAATCCACCGAAGATTAATACTCTTGTATGTATTCAATCAACCTCGTTGATATGTGCTTCTCAATTCATGAGTGTAATACTCATTCAATCTTCTCAAGGAAAACTCACAAAAATCTTCAGAAGAAAAACTCAAACAAAACCCTAAAAAACCTTAAACAAGATCTAGGAGAAGTAATCCTAAAATTAACCCAACACGCGAATATATAGAGTCTGAGATCGCGTGGTCCGCTCGAGCATGGGAATTCCTGCTCGAGCGGAGACTGCATATTCCGTGATTCATACAAGGTCCACGCTCGAGCGTAGAATCACCATATCCAGTATTTCTTGCAAGCGTAGTAGAGATTCCGTGAGAGTGTAATCCTCGCTCGAGCGTCATTTTCCCCGCTCGAGCGGGAAAACCAAAACTGGAAAATTATAAAATGTTACAACCTTGGTTTTGATCCATGGAATTTGACAACAAAGGGACCTAACAATCTCCCCCTTTGTCAAATCCCGGACAAAACCATTCTAAGACAATTTCCTTAACAAAATCACTAAACCAAGTTTCCTATCAAAATCACAAAAACAAGACTAATAACACCAACAACTATGAGCCAACATTAGTATCCATGAAAATCTGAAAGCCATGCTTTTGAACAATCACCCTGAAAGAAAAACAACCACACAATGCTAACCAAAATCCATTACTGTTACCACCGACCTTATTCGCGAGTTGTTAGGGGTTACTAAAAGATTCCCCATCTTCTATCCTTTTCCAGTGCGCCCCACTTGTGACTTTGATGAGGTTGCCCACACCCTTTGTGGTTTTCCCCGTTCTTGGCCCTCTGGTTCCCTAATTAAACAAAATGAGCTTCTCCCACAGTTTAGGTTACTCAACCTTATTGTGTGTGCCAATATCATTGTTACCACCCATAGCTCCGAAATTAACCAGGACCAAGGGTTTGTCCTTCAGTGCCTTGCTCAAAATCATCCCATAGATCTTGCCACATTGATCATTCAAAAGATGGTTGCTGCTTTTGAGCACAACAATCTTGGTTTACCCTATAGGTGCCTCATAAACCGGCTTCTCGCCAAGTTTGAGGTCCCTGTTTTTGATGAGGATGAATTTGCTTCCCCTTCTTGGCCTTTCACCAAAAAGACTGTCTCACAGAGTCAGTCTCATATTTGGGGGTTTCTTCTGGTTCCGGTAGATTTAGTGCAGGTACTAGTGATGCTGCAGCCATGGCCGAAGAGGCTGAGTATGACGCTGCTGCTGCTGGCGGAGATATTGGTGAGGGGGAGCAACTCCCTCCAGTTCATACGGTTCGTGGTCAGTTTCATTCCTTTGAGAGATCTGTTGCTTCCCGATTTGACCACCTCGAGAGGAGGATGGATATCTTTGAGGCCAGGCTTACTGATCTTGAGACCACAGCTGATACCCGGTTCAGTGCCTTGGAGGCTTCTTCCCAGCGCATTGCGGAGTCCGTGGCTCAGTCTTCTGCTCAGCTGGCTCAGATTCTGTCTTTGCTTCAGATGCAGTCCTAGCCCCCTACTCCATGATCTTTGTAGTTCTGGTCTATTTCTCTTATTTTTTGATCCCTCCCGGACAAAAAGCGGGAGTGATTTTTCAATTAGTCCACTTGGTACACAATTGGTACAGTTGTGATGGTACAATCATCTTACTTTACTTTGGTTTA